TCTAAACATAACCTTCACCTCCTACACTGAACATAAACGCACTGAAATCAAATCAACCTCGCGTGAGGTGGCAATGTCTACATTTGCATTATTAATTAATTTGAAAATGATTATGATGAGCCATTAACTGTATTAATGAGCCTCAAAGATATAGATAAAAAACCCAACAAAACAACACATAAAAGAAGAAAAAAAAAACCCTGCTCCCCCCCCCCTTTACCCACAAGGGAAAAAAAGTGAAGCAGTAAGATAAATATTTACCTATATATCTTTGCAACACATCGGTTCTGGACATAGAGCTGTGGTTCTGGATTAAAAGGGAACAATCTGTTCTAGAAAACCCTTCATAACGTCAGATAATTCAAGTGGCACTTCGTTAGTGTTCAGCAGAAAATCAATGGTCCAAGAGAAAGGACCGCCTGACGTCAATGTCTCCCACTGAGGTGGGAACGATAGAAAGGCAGAGTGTTAATACTGTGAGGATGTGGAAGAGAATGCTAATAAAATTTTCCCGACAATCTTTAAGTACAAAGAATTTCAGAAGCCAGTCAGCGAGTGATCGTATACTTATTTGAAAGGATTGTTGTTCGCCGATGAATGGGCCGGTATACATGAAACTTGCCATTGTGTTTGCTGTCGAAAATTTTATTTATTTTGAAGCCCCTGGAACCACCGGGACTGGGTGTTATAGTAACGATCTTTATTGGTATTCATTATTATCCCTATTATTTGGTGAGCCAGTACTAATCTCGAAGACGGTACGTATACTACAAGATGGTTCACTGTCATTGAGAGGCCAATAGCTTTTATGCTTCGAACAAGTACATGAACTTGAAAACAGTTTAAATTGAAGAAGAAGGAAAACCCATCCAGTTGAAATCATAAACAAGTCTATTCCCCTATTCTGTCATTACAATCTGTGCCGCGAAGCTTGACGTAGTCAGAAGTCTTTGAACTGTGAGTCACTGCAAAGAATAAAAAAACCTCCAACAACCCAAAGGCACAAAAAACCCAGACCTGTCCTCACCAATCCCAGGTCGATTCTCTTCCCATTAGCCATACAGACGAGCCTTATTTCCCGTATCTCCATCTCACGTATTACTTTGTTATTCCCTGTATTTGCTATTAGCCGTGTTAGTTCTCAAAGTATTCTAAAATTTCGAATAGAATTGCCTTCGTTCGGATTTTGGCATGGATTCCCAAGTGTTTGAGGGCTAAGAAACATAATATTTTCCACAAAAAAAAACCCAAACAGGAGCTCTAGCAACACATAAGACTTTAAAAAATAGCTGTAACAAAATCAACGCCGTAAACAACCAGGAACGAATAAAACCGAAAATAAGACAATGCTACAGTAGGAACGAATGAACAACTACCCACCCCCCCCCGAAAAAAAGGAAAAGAAAAAAAAAGAAAAAACCCCCCCCTTAAAATTTCAAAGACAGCAACGTGTTTTTTGTACTAATAAGAGTTTTATGCACTTGCAATACAATGAGGTCGTATAAATGCCGGAGAATAGGGGTGTTACAGCATTATTGTGATCAACAACCCTATAGCACAACCAAACAAACAAGAATAAAGGTAATAAAGAGCATTCCTTTACCCCTTTCTATTATTCTAAAAAACAACCAAGACACAGTTTACATTACAAACAGACACAATTCTATTTCCTGACGAAAAACGAGGTTGGTTGGCATCATAGTGTTCCGCCACCCAAGAATATGAAACACCC